ATCATCTATGAATTCTATTGTAGCCGTTCCTTTTGAAACATTGTCTACTTTTTTATGCACATCTGATAAAACTTATGCTGGAATATAGTTAGTGGCCATTTATTTGGAAGATAACCATCTTGTTCGGCAATATGCCATTTTTATCAGTTAGATTTATTATTGTTATTAAGTATTTTCTTTCAAAGTGTTTGTTTACAACCATAAAATAAATCATCCCTTGTACACATTTTCTAATGTTCCTGCACAAACTATTAGATAAGACGAGAACAAACATTCAGTGATTTTAATATTTAGACGACAAACGTAGTGTGTGCAGGGCCACCACTATGGCTGCGCTTACATATACATTTTGACCCCTTGGGATCCTAAGATTTTAGTGCAACTTACAAAAAATCTATCGGTATTTGACTAGGCATGTGGATTTTATTGTATGTGGATTCATAGGTGTGCGGTATTTCTGAGGCGGTATTTATTTCGGATCTACCGTTACTTGGATCCAAAGGCACTCTAATTTAAAGGCTCTATTGTGTAGATGTCGGTAACGGGAGTATCAGCACATGGACTTACCGGTACAAAATTGTATCAGCACGCACTCCAATTTTCGTACGTATTAGCACCTCCTATCCCGTAGTGTTCAGTTTTGTGCGAGTGGTTAACTACGGGGATATGAAAGCGTATGGATGAAGACTCATCTTTAAGTTAAGTTTCTAAAAAAAAAAGAAAAAAAAAAAGGTGATTTATTTCAAGAACAAGCGTGCTCCAGTTACATTTATTTAGACTGTCAACATTCGTGAACAGCGTCAGCAACAACCTCTCATCTAAAATGAGCCCTACCTGTATCAATTTGCATAACAATAACTGATTGGTCATCGTAGTGCGAGCTGTCTTCCAAACTAGGCCTAGTCACTTGAGAGTTGAATGCCGTGAAGTGAAGACGTGAGGGGACGGAAGGCAGGGTCGCAAGGTAATTCCTTGTTAAATACGTCTTGTTGTAAGTATCACTTTTCGTCCAGCAACATTTTAATGAAACTAAAGGCGCAGAAGAGTTAAAGAAAAGTTACAG